AACATAACTTGGAATAATTAATTCATTTGTTTCTTATTGAAGTCGTTAAAAATTCATTTTTCTATCAAAATTTTGTTTATGATCGATGTTAAGTTCAATACGTCGCTTTTTTATTATGATCTATAATGTTTTAATCAGTACTAAAAATATATTGAATTTATCCATTGTTGCTATTATTCTGAAATACTGCAATTAACTTGATCTAACAAAAAGTGGCAAGAAATTGTTGTATGTGAAATAACCTTTAAATTTGATCAATCGATCCACATTACACAAATTGTATAGTTGACATAAAATACCTAACTGTCGACAATTTGGGAGTTTAAATATTATTTAAAACTTTAAATAATATATTATTTGCAAATAATACTTTACATAAAACACTTTTCATAACAGGTGCATAATTATGCATTCCTAAAATTACTTCAAGCACTTTATTAAAAATCTTTTAAATAACTCTTAAAATTGCAGACTGCATCATTGCTTAAAAACAATAAACCAATGTAAACAGTGAATTAATTCGAAAAAGTAAAGAAATTCACATAAGGTCGTCTTTTAACCTTAAAATATATGGTTCTCTAAAAACATTTAGTAAAAACCTTCACAATTATTTTTTCGTATCTTTGTTTTCATGTCTAGCACAAATTTTATCCTAAAAGCATAAAGATGTATCATTTACAATTTTTCCGACCATGAGTATGATGCCTAATTTTCCCTTTATGATAAACATCATAAATTATAAGTAATTCGACAGTCATGAATTGCAGCTGCGTATTCTAATTTGTTTTCTCATATAGAACAAAAGTGTTTGTCATTGCTAGCTTATTACTTTCATTACTTTGTTGCAATTGTTCGTTAATTTTACGAGTTAATAAAGCTGATCGAGAGATCCGAATTACTAGATAGATGCATCATTATTATATGTACTCATAAAAGAAATGAAGTAATGCATCAGAATAGGAATGCGCTCTGAACACAAAAAATATAAAGATCATAAATCTACATTGTACTCTATATACAAATTCAAAAAGATACGATGATTTGTGTATATTTTCATATAAATATACCCTGAATAAAAAAAAAAATAATTGTCAAAAAATAGAGATATTCTTAATATTTACTATCAAATGCAAACATTTTGCAAACAAAAATTTAATAAACAACCATTTCCATTAAAATTAATTCAATTGTTCCAATGATGGGGCAAATCTATGGATCAACTCAAGAAACTTTGCCGAGAAAACCAAAGCTTGTAAGCGCGAAAATTTCCATTGAAGTTCTTTATCCATATATTTGCACGTTTAATAAAATTTCATGTTCATTTGTCTGAAAATCTAAAATGTGAAAAAGGTCTCTTTCATTATAATAACTAGAAATACTTCTTTTGGCCTACAACCGGAAGACTTCTATGTACCTTAGTACATGTGTAATATTGGTATACGAACAAAAGTTAGTCGAGAAATATAGTTAGTTTAGCTGGAAAATTCGTAGTGTTCAGTTCATTTCAATACGTAAAAATGCCGAATTATCTAAAAGGTAAGCGAAGTAATGAAGTAATATTGCACAAAATAACACTAAAAAAGACGTTATCAGGGCAATCAGTTTACTGATAAAGCAGGTGAAAAAATTGACGCCAGTACAAGTCATAATGAAAGTGCCAGTGGTCAAGATCATGTAGACGTAGATTTAGCTCCATTACTTGGTGAAGAAATGAAACATCATCTTTCACCAATTTATGAAGATTTGTCCAAAGATGATTTACTTGAACAATGCCTTGGTGATCATACGAAGAACGCGAATGAAAGCTTCAACGCGACAATTTGGCGACTATAGTCGGATTATCACCAAAACACCCACATTGTGGATAAGGGTAGTTGAAATTTCACCATATATTGCAGCTAGGATATTTATTGAAGGTTTTAGTTCAATATTAAGAATAATGAACCTTCTGAATTTAACTGTTGGTACTTATGCTAAAGCATATGCTGATAATACTGATGAGGCGCGAATAGCTTGACAGGGTCGTAGGAGCCTTCCACAAATAAAAGATGCTGGTACAGCTCACAAACAACAACAACTTACAGATAATCAGCTTTTTGAAGATAAGGAATTACTATTGTATGGACCTGATATTGCAGATTAATCAGTAAGTAACTAAAACTGGTCATTTTCCTTTACTAAATCTTTAAACGCGATTATCTCAAAACTGTGTGTTCAAAAACTGTGTTCGTGTTGTAGCTCAAAAAGTTATGTATCGATTTGTCTGAAATTGGGTGAGGCCTTTCTCTATATTATTATCGGGAGGATAAACCTAAATCCTTAGATCTTTCACGTTTATAAAGTATTTTCTAGAGCCCAAAATGTCAAAAAAATAGCCAAAAATTCAGATTTTTTTTTCAAAGGCTTGTTTTTCATTGACTTTTATACTTTTTTTTCAATTTTATAGGTTTATCCTTCGCATTGATATGTTCTCAAAAGAAAACATTAAAAATTTTTTTTTTCAGATCGACGGTTGATGAGTGAGAAATGCAGCAGTTTTGGACCTCGCGCCAGAGGCAGTCCACAAAAAGTTATGCTGAGCCGCCATTTTGAAATAAATTTTTTTTTTAAATATTTTTTTGTATTCTAAAAGGGTTAAATAAAGTTATGTCAAAGTTTAAAAACAATAAAATTATTCCATCACGTTTAAAAATATTTTTAAAATATGACCTATTTTCATGCGTCTATATGGACTTTTGCATGGTTATAAGGTTGAAAGTAAAAATGATTATTTTTTAAATATTATAGACCAATAAGAAAGCTACATTCTGAGTATCGACTATACTAAATCCATGTAAAGTTTCACCAAATTCCCAGACACAGAGTAAACATGCGATTCTTGTAAGATGATATTTAATAAATATATGAAAAAAACTTATTGAAAGATTAGCTGGCTGGAAATTCACCTATAATCCATAGAAATATAATTGCAAAGTACTCCAAATGTAGAAAATTATTGACCCACCCTATTATTCATATAACATTACAAATAACTTTCATATTTTCAAATTCATATTTTTTTCGTAAATATTAATTTCCTTCAAATTAGTTTCGATCTTCAATTTCATATTAGTCATCAACCGATTATACATATTGTACAAATTAAAGTATATCTTATCACAAATTCTGGGTGTACCACATTCTCTACATATTATTTAATTCTGTGACGATAATGTTTTTACAATATGAACCTCAAAAAACATTTAGATCAGTTATGAAATTTTTATCACTTAGTAAATATGTATCTAATAGTGAATCGCAGTCTAACAATTGAAATATCTGCCATTCCTATAATACCGTAAACTGTAATAGTTTTCAAACATTTATCTTGGTTGAATAGATATGTACTTAAATAACTGTGATTTTATGTACTTGAATAATAACAGTTTGACAAATATATATATATATATATATATATATATATATATATATATAACATAAATCTTTATCGTAAAAATAGTTAACCTTCACATATTTGATAAGTTTTTCTTGTAAGTAAATATCATCGCAAATTGCTATAGAATAGTATCATACTACTGATTAATCGAGTTAAGTTTGGTACAAATATTTAGAAGGCATAAATCGTAAACATGCAAAATAATCACAAAATTTAAAAAATTACCGCTAGCAAATCAATATTACGAATTGCCAAAAAGTATAGTTTACGACATGAAATTTAAACTTTTAAATAATCTAAAATAGATAGTTCAAACAATTTTTTTTTGAAATAATACAGCAAGAACACAAGAACACCATGTTGGATGTATAAAATTTTTGCCAATTTAGAAAAAATGTAAATTATCAAATTTAATACTATTTTGATACCTCGAATTTATTTCTGTCATCACAGTGAATAAGTAGTTAAGTCAATTTTGATTATTTGGCGAGGATTGGATTTAAAGTTTGAGTACTCTTCTAAAATCCTTTATTTGAAATTAATAGATTAAATTTATATTAAAAGGGCAAGTACGGATAAAATGACATGATGTTTTGTTTTTTAATGGTATTTATTTACTTAATGATAATATAACCAGTTTCAATAGTTTTTACTCATCTTTGGTTTATTCACTACCAGTAACATAGTCTTTAATTAAATAGGAGTTAAAATAATATATCTACTAAGGAAAAATGCAATTAATTTCAAAACCCATTATGTCCATATAGTGGGCAAAATGACATATAAGGAATAAAGGCATACCGAGCTGCTAATTTTTAAAAAGCCTGTTCACAAATAAATTCTTCAGCGCTCTCTAGATAATGAATGTGCCCAAATAGAACATATCATAAATTGTAACCAACCTTGGCCGAGCTCAGAATAGGAAAATAGGTCTTTACAATGAACCCCTGTTTTTTACAGTAGTGCAAAAAATGAAAGACAATCACCTGAAACAGGTTCAATTTTCTGTTTTCTTAGCCTCGAATAAACTACCCTATAGTTCTTGCAAAATAATACTGTATTATTTTGTCCATTGTATAAGTTGTCCGAATGATAACAAAAATATATAAATAATCTAAATTTCATCAAACACCTAATGATTGCAATAAAATCACTGGTACTGGCTTCATTGATCTGAATAGAAACATATAGTTACAAACAACAGTCAATAAGGCCTCAAAAACATGAGAAAACCACCCTTGAAATAAACATTTGAAGGTGCGTACACGTTTAAACGTACCCGTATCCAAGGCTGGGACAATGACGCTCAACCTCTGACAGGATTGTGATTATGGCTTTCGTCGCCTGATATAATCGCGAAAATATTACTAAAACTACCCAATTTTCAAATACATAATACCACTGTATCACTTTATTCATATATGCCATTTTGTCCGCACTTCTTCCTCCACATTATAGTCAAAATTTGACTTAACCACTTATTCACTGGTATGACAGAATTATTGAATAACATTATTCAATTTTATTATAGCAAACCATATATAACTTTATTATTATCACCTACCTGTACTTTCTCAAGGTAAAGTTCGAAGTCGCGGTATGGATCCTCACCGCGAGCGGACGCCGCGGTTTCGGCGACCGGAACAGCGGTATCCGCGCCGCCGGCGGACATCGCCTCTGTCGTATCGGTGATCGGCGGATCAATCGTCATCTGTCCTCTATTATCAGGCTATCGATCCATTGCCTTCTGAAAGAGAATAAATAAATTAGTATATCGTTTCATAAAGTAGATGGGGGGGAGGTACATATAGTATAGTGATATCATTTTCTTAAGTAGATGGAAGGGGGAGCAGGTAATTATTGTAACAGAGTAAGTAGTAATAGGTGTTTTTCAATAGAATCAAATAATATAACTATAATAACTAACAATATAATAAACAATATTTTTTGCCTAGATTGGTAAATTCAACTATTAACTAGTAACTATTGTATCACAAGCCAAACCAGTATACAAAAGTGTGCAGGTTCTTCATTTTTGTCGGGCAATATGAAATTGTACTATCATATGGTTTCGTTATCATTATCGACTAATTGCAAATGTTATACCTATATCTTATCAACTTCCCGTTAATATGGTAAGTTATTGTAATCGTCCAAAAATCGAAAAAAAATGTTCATAGATCTTGACGTTTCAGCGGTTTCTGAACATTTTAGCATACAATGTGTGATACAATTTTTCGTCGACGATTTCTGCAATCGATTTCTGTTGATAGGGAGACAATTAGTTTTTCGGAAAGGTCGATACAGCCGTTTTGGAGATACAAAACAAAGAGTGCAGAAAATTGAAATTAAGTTTTAATTAATAGAGAACAGAGCATCCGACTCGAATAATTCAAGAAACATCCAATTCGTTATAATGGGGAAAAGTTTTGATTAGTTTTTGAAAATGGCAGGTCTAACCGTTTTGGAGATACGGAGACAAATCTTCAAAAAAATGATAGTTTTTAAGAGAACAAAGCATCCGAACAATTTATACATTTCATTAATAAATATTAAATAGTTATCTTGATCAATGTAAAAAATTCACACCTGCTATTAGTTGCAACAAGATCTTGGGATAAGTTGTAACATATTACATTATGCCCCAAGTTATGATCTAAATAATTACTTTTGTCAGTAAACAAACCAACTCCGAGTTGCTCCAATGTACAAAAAACTTTGTTGCCATTGAAGATTAGACCATTTTGATCTTGGTGGGCAAATATACCAAGAAAAACTTATGCAAATAGCTACAAAAAGAATGTAGCAGTATTAATGGATACTCATGAGAAAGAAGATTTACAAAAGCTATATGAGGAAAAGTAGGAAAAAAAATAAAAACAACATTATGAAATTAGAGTAAAAACTAAATGAAAAGCAAAGGTTAAGGCCAAAGGTAGATGCACAGTAATAAAAATGGAATGAACTGAACTAAAAAAATATTTTATGTTCAGAGTCAGAATTTGAATCAAAAGAATGATATTGATTGGTTTGTGATAAAGCTTATACACAAATAAAGTATATTCTGTAGAGTGTATTATTTGTAAGATATGGGCACATTTAGAATACTATGTTACATAAAAATGTGATACACTTTATATTTTTTATTTTTTCTATTTTAATATTTTTAACAGCGATTTTAAATCTATTTCTTTTATCTTCTAATCTTACTTTCTTCGAGAGTGCAACCTAGTGGTTAACGACACTTTTTTTGCTATTTTATATATACTATGTATTCGATATGTGTATCTAATATGTCGACTTGCATGTAACGCCTGTAAAAGACTTAACATTTTACTTTACAATATATTTGAGATCTATAACCTCAAGTGAAAACTTGATATCGTACTGCTTGATATCAAGCTTGTTCGAGACTGGGATCGATAACGGAACTAGTACACGCTAACTATATTTCCAAGTAAAAACCGATGTCACTACTGCTTGACATCGGGATGTACAAGTCCTTAGCTTTAACCACTAATCCAAGCTAATAAATCTAAGGTTCAGAATAAAAGGTTTAACAGGAATAACTAACAAAATGTATCAACATATGCAACAAGTCACGCAATGTCGAACGAACATCAGTCATTAAATATATCGTAATACAAGATTTTTATAATCATAAATATATGTATTTATGTATAGCTAATATCTGTATAAGTTGATATGCAATTTATAATCATTAAATATATTTTGCTTTTATTCTATAATCTCGTATCATTAGTGTAATTGCGGATACCTATCGCATTTACAAACATGTGTCTAGAATCAGATCTGAGATTTGAGCGATGATGAATTTTATAACTGGATAACGTATAATTTAATAATACTTTAACGAGGGAATCAAATGTGATAACCATAATAAATCATACTAACGTAAGTTTGTTGGGATATTTTAACTGGTTTTCATTTTATGATTAGTTTAATGATGCATTAGTATCAGCTCAAACACACACACACACATGTATATATATATATATATATATATATATATATTGTTAAAATAATAATAATATTAATTATTTCTTTAAAAACTGTGTTTTATTATTTTTATATTACCTCATCGTTCACACAACTCATTTGGCACATCCTTATACATTTAAAAAATAAAATAATTATCTGCTTTTATATATATATATATATATATATATATATATATATATATCAAGCACCTTATATTTACAGTTATTTTTAATTTTGCAATAAATTTCTTTTTAATGCGATCAATGGATGCGACGTCAATAAATAATATCAGTATCAAAGGAACGTGATCTCTGAATTATCATTTCGAACAATCGAACAATGTATGTACTAATTCCAACGTGAAATGTTACAAAAGAAAATGATACCGAAATAAAATAAAAAATGCAATGGGATTCGAGAAACACCATACATCATCAGTTGAGTACTAATATGGATAATTCTTTATTTTATAATATTTCCTAAAAATAAGATGTTTTGTGAAAGATATGGAAGAATTTATATATTTTAGTAAATTAATTTTATGCTTTTATTATATGGATAACGGTTTAACTCTCTGCCATGTGTGGACACATGGTTGTGAGTTCGAACCCCCGCTCTGGATAACCTGCATCATGCAGCAGTGATATGAATTTTCACTTAAAATATAGATCAAAAATATGTTTCCAATTGAAAACAGCCCAGTTCGGGCACTGTGGTGTGGAATGGCAATGGAAAATTTTTCATACTGTTCCTCCCTGAATCGAGTTGGAGTTTAACTCAGCTTACAGGCCTGCCTTATAGCGGTACAACACCCATTATTTATTATTTTGTATATATTATATACAACGCGGTGAGAGCGTAACGTGTAATATGGAAACCGCGCTATAAAAAACTCGAATTTCAGCAAACCAGCTTAATTCGTAGCGCGATGTAAGACAATCGCCAGATTACTGCTATATGGGAATCGCGTTGTAAGTAAATAAAAATAGTACAATTTGCATAATTTGTACCGCGTTTATATAGAGACCCATAAATACAAAAGACATAATAAATTATAAATTGTTTCTATTGAAGCAAAGAGTTCATATAAATTTATGGCTAAAATATAAATTATTTTCAACTTCCCTTATTTTTAGGGCAATTTTAGTTTTAATCGCAAAAAATACTATATAATAATATTATATATTTTTACGTTTCAAAGGTTTCTGAATATTTTGGCATACTTTAGAAAAAATGAATCTATGTGTGTGTGCGGATACAAATTTTCGTCGACAATTTCGGGAACACGGGA